TCTATCTATAATAGCTGAAAAATTTAGTTATAGTAAACTTAACGATAAATTAAAGGTATGTATAAAAATAGTATTAATGATCATAATATTTGTTCTAAAATTAATATTATCTATTTATTATTTGATTAGGTATCATCAAATTTAGTTAATGCATCATGTAAATTTGCTAGAATTAATGGGCCAGGCTGTTCACCTATGATTAGACCAATAATAACACGAACTAAGATGAGCGTAATAAAAAATCAACATTTTGAGAGGTTTTTTTCTGATAGAGAAAATGTTGTTATGAGTTCTTATAAAGTCGATCCAAAAACAAATTTACCTATTTTATATCTTAAAGATCAAAAGGAAGCATTGTGACATAAATTTTCTGAAATTTATCCTGATAGTATGAAGCGAATATCATTTATGGCACACCTTGCTGATGGTCCATTTAGATATTATGAGGATTTAGAAGGGCTATGTATTATATGTAGTGAATATAGTTATCAAGTATTTGAGAATTTATGTGCGCTTGTTAATGTGCATATATCAAATAAAAATATACAAGTAAAATTTATAAAATTTATAAATTTATTGCATTTATTCCATTTTTATTAATAATTTCTTTCTTTATTTAAGAATCATTTGATTTAAAAAATTGAAAAAATTCAAAGATATATTAAGCGAGATTATGAAAAAGAATTTTATGTAAATGAACTTGGCATTGTCACTCATAATGAATATATCAATCATTGTCGATTATTTGCTTTTGGTGATTGTAAATTAGAATATTCTCAAAGATGTTCACAATGTTTTCAGCTTTTTGATTTGTTTGACGAACTTAGAGTGCAATTTGGAACTGACTTTTTTGAACAATTAGGATAATATCAAGATCAGCTGATTTATTATCTTGCTCATCAAACTCGTAAGATATATTTAAATGCTCAATTTAAAGCTTCTTTACTGGAACTAAATGATGATGGCGCATTAATGGTTGCTGATTATAAAATGAAGATATTAAAAAAAGTGCACGAGAAATAAAAGAAGAATTTTTTGGAAAATCTGGATGGACACTACACACAATACTAGTATTTCAAAATAGTAATGATGGCAATCTTGATATTCACGCATATGATCATTGGTCAGAAGATGGAATTCAGAACGCTTAGTTCACTGCAAATTGTTTTGATGCTGTATTTACAACAATGGAGCGTAAACCAAAATGGGTTAAAATAATGTTAGATAATAGAGCTCATTACCACAATTCACAACTGATGATGCTTATAGCGCATTGGTATGATTGGTATGAGATTGATGTAAAAAATTGGATATTTTTGAGCCAGGAGAAGCAAAGACAACAGTAGAGTCTCATCATGCATCAGTATGTTATTAAACTCTACAGTTAATTTGTAAATTTTATTTTTATTTATTTGTTTGTAATTAATAATATTACTTTTTATAACAGATCACACATGCTATTAAACGATATGTTCGTGTGGGTTTTGATCTTAAAGAAGGTTCAGATATACAAGCAGCTATTGCTAATCTTGGTGGTACTTCTATTACACAAATAACACCTGACCATCAAAAAAATAAAGAAACTACTAAAACATTAGTGGGAATATTAAATTTATATGAATAGCAATGGCCAAAGGATGATAAACATGTAGGATGGGTAAAAGCACGAGCATTACCAAATATTGGGAAATGGATTTATTATTCTTTAGTACAGTTTATTAAGCCTACACCAGAAACATCAACTCCTATAACACCATTATCATTGTGGACGATACCTAAACCATATGGATCAGGTGTATTATTTATACAATTTACCATATCATTGATAATTCTTTCAAATAAACTTTTTATTATTTTCTTATTTCTTTCGAATAATCAAACTTGATCTGTTAATTATCATAAATATTACAAATTAGATCCACGCAGATTTAAAAAACAAGTATTGAAAAATAAACTTGACGAAGAGAATATTGTTTACCAAGAAAACACTAGTCGAATTGATTTAGCATCTCAACTTCAACTTCATCTTTTTAACAAAAACAATCAAATATAACCAATAACAGGTTAGTAATAAAATAGACTAACTTTAATATCCATCTAAAACATCAAATTAACATTATTTTACAAATTTTAGGCAAAATATATACTATACAATTAAATGAAGCTCTTAATTATCAAAATGTTAAACCCAACCTAAGTTCTGAAAAAAAAGATAATAATAAATTATCACACGAAAATAGCCCTTCAATTAACCTTTCTTTGCCTTCTAACCAAGAGCAACCACTTATGGATTCAGAAATTCATAGGTTATTGTGACTCTGAACATAGTGTATTTTTTTTCCATAAAATATGGTTCTAATATCACACCATTACATTTACAATCATCTTTAAAGAAATGCATATTTACAGCTAGGATGGGTGCTTAAAGAAAACTAAAAGTTTGGACGTAAAGGTACTGGTACACAAATTTCGAAAGAAATAGTATTTTTGTTACAAGGGTTCTTTTTAGCAGGAAATATTAGCAAAAGTGACCGTTACTCTGAACAAGATATGTATAATGAGTTGGTTAATTTGGCAGATAAAGGGAAGATATATAGAAATAAAATTTCAAAGGTATAAACCATTAAGGGATGGATAAGCAGATATTCTAAACAGATAAAAAAAGAAGCGGCTGAAAAGTCAGAAAATGCTAGAGAAGGTTCTGGAAGTAATAAAAGGTTGAAAATATGGGAATGTAAACTTTTTACCTTTAAAAATTTAAATAAACAATTTTCGAAATTATTATACTAAACTCTCAAATGCTACTGTCTTCCATAGTTAACTTTATCAAAATAACATAAAATTTCACCAATTTTTTTTATTTTCTAGACGGAGAATAATTATAATTTACTGCCAAATTTGGTTGCTATCAAAGCCACTAAATCTGTGTAATATATCACTTAAATTAACCGATTAAGAGCATATCATATAATGATCATCCAAAAATTTACTATATCGAATCACTCCATGTAATATGAATTTCGAATTAAATATTAGCTTAATTTAAGTCTGTAAATCTAAATAACAATAAGATTCTTCTGCCATATTTTCAATTAACCTTAAATCGTATCATTTTCATTTAGATAATAATAGATCATAAAATAAATAAATTTCAAATTTCACTTACTAATTAGAAATCCAAATATGAAAATTTTTACATTAGTATAATTAATTCTTATTTTTAATATTGAATTCGCTGGTATAAAGTTAACTTCAAAAATATTCTTTTTTAGTATTATGTAACCATCAATGTATTATAACATCTGCATCTCATTAATCATTTCCTATTATTAATTTTGTCAACTGAAATTGGAATTCCAATTTCAGGAATAATTTCTAATTAAAATAGAATATGAAATTCAAACATGAGGCCATCTGGATATCTGAAATTGAACTTCAGATAATATCTGAATTTCAGACAATAAGATCATCTAAAATTAGATATCTAAAATTGAAAAGAGAATTTGAATTTTAGTTAAATTATGTATTTATAACAAAATTAAAGAAATATAAGAATCTATTATCTACATAATTCATATTAATTAATAAAATTTTTATGTTATTTATTTCTTTTATTTTAAATTCTTCTCTCAACTTCAAAATAGATACACAAGTGCTCATAAATTTGAGAAAACCTTTTCTATTTGCTTTCTGCTGTTACAAAAGAATTAAAAAGAAAAAAAGTTAATAATTATAATAAATAAAATAAAACTAAAAAAAATAAAAAAAATAATTAAAAAAATAGAAAATGGAAAATAAAGAACTTAATTATTGAATGATGCATCATCTAATATAATCAATAACCTGAATGAAAAGAAAATAAAAAATAAAAAAAGATAAAAAAAGGAAATAGAGAAAAAATTAAAACTTATATAAATAAAATATACAAAGCTCACTTTTGTTTAATTTTAAAACCTACATTATACACAGTTCAAATGTAATCAAAAATTCTAAAATAGAAAAATTAAAAATGATAAAAATAAAAATAAAAAAAGTCCAAAAAAAATAATAAGCCCAATACATTTTTTTATTTAAATATTATTCAATTTAATAATAAATACCATAAAATTGAATACTATTTTCTTGATTTAATTTTATATTTTTATCAATTCAGAAAATTTGAGATATCGAAAATATATTTTACTATATATGTATTTTATCATAAATTTTTTTTTTTATTTAAAATAGTAATTTACAAAAATATTTTTAAACAAAATTTTATTAACTTAACAAAAATGTCAAGCATGAAAGCTAAGCATAATATGATTCTGAAATATTAGAAAAAATTAATCTTACAGATAAAATTAATATTCTAATCAATAAATTATTTATACTTTTAAAATAAATTTAAGAGAAACAATAATTATGATTAAATAAGAAATTTTATATATAAATATAACTATTTCCACTAAATCAATTTTTGGTAACTAATTTAAAAAAAATCAATATGAATCAAATATATATATTTTTCTTAAAAAATTTTCTTATTACAATTTTGGTCTTAAAGTAAATAATAATAAGGATTTATATACTTTCAAAAACAGCAAATAATTATGCTTAGTGTTCCTAATGAATCGAGTCGAGTCGAGTTTTGAGTCAAAATTATCCTACATACCTTTAATTTAAAGTACTTATTTATTATGTGTAACTAAAATTTATAATTATGCACAATCATGCGAGTCAAATATGCGAGTTTATGCAAGTTATTTTCAGAACTCTAATTATGCTATAATATAATTATATTTAGAAAAATATTATAAAAAAAGATTTGAAATTGAAATAATGATAATTTAGATTTTTATTAGATGCAAGAAGTATAAAAATGAAATTATTTTATATATAATATAAACTTGCATTATTATATGAAAATGGTAAAGAAACTGAAATAGATTTATACAAGTCCTTTTATTAATATAAAAAAGTTATAAAAAATAAAAATATTTATTTTTAATATAAGATTGTAAAATTCTATAAAAATGTTAATAAAATAAAAATAAGTTTAAAAAAAACCTTTATTAGTTTAAAAAGCTACTAAAAATGGTAATAAAATTGCATAATATAATCTTACAATATATAAAAATGGTGAAAAACAGAAAAAATATAAAAAAACCTTTTTTTAATATCAAAAAGATGCTAAAAAAATAAATATAAAAGCAATTTAGCTTTTATTAGTATTAAAAAAATGACAAAAAATAAAAATAAAACATTTAATTTAACTTTGCAACTTTATATCAATTTGGTAATAAAATAAAAAAAAATTTAGAAAAGGCTATTTATTAATATTAAAAATCTGCAGAAAATGAAAATAATTATGTATAATATAATCTTATAATATTATATAAATATAAGAAAGAAACAGAACTAGAACTAGAATAAGCTGAATATTAATATAAAAAATCTGTAGAAAATAAAATAATGTTGTATAATATAATTTTACAAATTTATATATAACTATTTATTAGAATAAAAAACAGCAAATAATAATATAAAATATATTATAAATTCAAAAAGTAGTGATCTAATTCTATTTTAAAATAATTTAATCCTAAATTTCTTTAACTAATTTGAATTTATTCTTATTTTTTAGATTCATTCTTATTTTCAATAAAGTTGAGATCTATTCAGATTTATCCTAATCTGAATTTTAAGTGATTATCTATAATACATAAATTTTATTAGATATTTTTATAAGGCCGAACAAATTAAATTTTTAGTTTCTCATAATCGTGCGAATCATGTGAATATTACGAATAGAAAAAAATATTTATTTTTTTTAGTCACATGATACCGGGCGGATGTAAAGAAATTTGATCAGTAAAAATTTATTTATATACACATATATATACACCAAAAATATAGATGTACCAGTAATTGTTTATATACAAATGTAATATTAATACTATTATAGACTAAACTATTATATTACTATTTATATTATTATCGTTCAATTATATTATTATTGTTAGTATTATTGTTTAATTGTTAATTCCTAATATGAATTATTTCTGTTTTAACCTCTTTCCCTTTCGTTCACCATGTTGAATATTTGAAAAATTTAATCCTTTACCCATTTTAATCGATACATTTAGATCATTGATACAGATTTCACAGTAAGGATACTGTTTTTCAGGTACAGGTACTACATATTCATGTGAATCACAATTAAAACATATTAGCGAAAAATTAGCTGAATAATAAGCTTTTTCCATTTCATCATAACATTCTAACGCTACATTTACAAATACTTTAGATAAGACATTTCTTAATTTTTGATCCATATCATCCCTCTTGATACAGGTATTTGTATCATCTACTAAAATAAACTCTTCATCTGAGACTTCTCCTTCCTCTGATTCCATATCTGATAAAACATTATCACCCTCTAATGTTTCCATATTTCATTTTCGGGATGATTCTTCCATAGAATCATCTTCGGATTCCATTTTATTGTGAAAAGCAAATATAGTATCACAAGTATAACTTATTGTATCAAAGTATGACATTAAAATTTTCTTTTCATCATCTGTGATTTTTTTAAGGGCGTATAAACACCTTGGCTTATTACAATCCATGCATTTTATAGTCATACCCACATTTTTGCTCTCTGTGCATTTTCTGTCTATAGCATTTGCTTATCTCACCTTTTTTGAGCTTTTACTTTCTTATTTTTGTCTGATTTTACTTTACGAGCCTGTATAGATGGACAATATGATTCATAAGTATCTGTACCATAAACATCCTCAAAATTTTTATAATGTTCATTATTTGCTGGCATTAGATCGGGTAAGTGATATAATGTATTGAATATATGTTGAGGACTTCAGATTGGTGAATATATATTACAATGATCTTTGCCACACTTCTTTATTGAAAAAAAATACGAACGAGATTGGCAACAATGATTAAAAAATTCACTTATCGGCTATTAAAAATAAATATATTAGCTGTTAGATTTTTAATGT